CTAGCTTATACTGTACCAACATCTTCAACTCTTAGATCTGTTAAAAACTGGACGCCCTCGAAACGTAGTTTCAAGAATTGGAAAGAAAAAAAAAGGGGTTTTTTGGGCATTGTCTTCCAGCTCCAATAACTGAAGGAAGGTTTGAAGTCAAAGTTTTGAGAACTTCGTTTTTTTTTGAAGATGGATTGTAGAAGGTGCTTGCTTATCCACGTCTTGTTGTTCTTTATCGTTAACCAACCATTATTAAATTATTCTCAGTTAATTACTGTTGCTCAAAGTGTCGTAAGTAGTATGGTTTTCAGTAAGTATGCCGACTGACCTCACAGGCACAGTTTACCAAGATATCTTAACAAGAGGAAGGTATGATTATTGCTACTCATTTATCCTTTTCCTTTATATGTCTAAGTGTTAGTAAGTGTTGTAAATAACTAATGAGAAGTGACAGTTTATTAGAATAGAGTCTTTGAATTTAAGCTATTTTTCACTGCGCTGGTTTGTGTGGAAGCCAGAGAATTTGCAGTTGTCATTATCATACTGTTATTATTTTTCTTCGCAGATACTTTAAACTTTTACACTTCCTCATTTTATTTAATCTGTTTGTAATTCAAAAGCTTTATTACTTTTAGATGGTCAAGTAAAGTCTAATTATCCAGTTTTTTAGTGCTCCGACTCTAGGAGTTTTTTAGGTTGTTAAAGAAGTATTCTTTTTCCATATATTGGCAATACTGACCTACAATTTTTAATTTTTTTTAGTTTATTAAACCTCAGCCCGTTTAACAGAACAACTTCCTAAAGCTTTTTTTTCAACTTTTTTTAGAGATTTCTTATTATTTATGGATGGTGTACGTTTGAAAAATTTCTTACAGCGGTTGCTAAAGCTGTCAGTTGACCTTTCTGCAGTAAAAACGACTCGTTCACATTTTCAATTGGTTTTTTGAATCTGTATAAAGTTGAACTGCTTGTTATCTACTTTTAGGTGATGTAGAAACTTTTTTTACTCTTAAAAACAAACTCACCTTTAATAGTTTCACTTTTTTTACTTTAAGTCCTTTGAAATAGGCAGGGCAGGGAGTTTAAAAGAAGTATAGTTTTACGTGGATTACTGCACTTTGAAACGCTTTGTCACATATCACTTTACGAAAAGTGAATACAGAGGAATGTTTTGCACAAAAACTCTCTCAAACGACCACTTATATCTTCTATTCAAAAGACCAAATTTTTTTGCAGTAAGTTAAAGAAAGTAGCTTAGCAATGGCACGGTAAGATCCTTCTGTCACTTTCACGATGATAGAATGAAAGCAGGTTCATCAACGAGACAACTTCAAAAAATACTTTTTTCTTTTTAACATGATGTTAGAGGCTTTAATTCTTATCGGCCTCGATAATATGAAACTTGGAAAATTACATAAAGCTTATAAAGTTTGTGTGGAGAGACTTAAATTCAGCAGTCTTATTATTGAGTGCAATTTTTTTGGAGATTATGTTAAGAGGATATTTGAAAGTGTTTCTCGGTAAAAGTCTGCACGCCAAATGACAGTTTGTTATACAAGCTTTCACCGCGATTGTTTACTTACATTTTTTAGACAGCATTTATACAATTTTTTGGGCCAGGCCTTTACGAACGAATAAGAATAAGGGTGCTCTGACGAGAAATAGTTTTTTGATCACCAGAGTGGGATGAATAAGAAAGACGTTAGGCAAAAATGTATCTGAACGAAGTAAAACAAACTCTTTTCAAAATTTCATCATTAAGAAGTCGAAAACCCAATAACCAGGAAAAAAAGCATCGAATGGATGTTTAAAAAAGAAAATTTTTAAATTTTTTTTTACACTTAACACTGTAAATTGTAATTGAGAAGTTTGAAAATATTTGGTGGTCAAGCTAAAAAATTGTGTTAGGTATAGTTGTTGCAGCTCAATAAATATTTTAATAGTCATCGAAAGTTTGCACCTGCTGCGATAAAAAGCAAAATTGACGACGGAATCTAAGTTCAAGGCGTGTAAATTCTAACGGGAACCAAGAAATAAATGCAGTGAACTAATTTAATAAATAACTCCTCTTTATAACGGCTTGTTCAAAATCAGGGTCTTTTTTGATATGCGCTAAGTTGAAAAAAGTGGACCGTTCAACTTACTTCAGTTAACTTCTACATAGAGTTACTCAATTATGGTGTCTAGTTACAATTAAGGCTTCTATTGATGGCTTAAGTAGATCATAAGGATTAGCTAGTTAACTCTATTTCCACCATTCAAAATTGCTAAGAAAGTTTAAAATGATGAATTTAGCACAGCCAAGAAATTTTGAAAAAAACTTTAATATTTAGGAACAAAGTTGTAG